TTCTGTAAATTATCTTGCTTAATTGTTTAAGTAAATAATTTTATACAAAGAAGCATGATGTGGTCTCACTGTCTTTAGCTAACTGGTCAATTTCCGAGACACAAGGTTGAAAATGCACATATGTCTCTCTCTCTCTCTCTCTCTCTCTCTCTCTCTCTCTCTCTCTCTCTCTCTCTCTCTCTCTCTCTCTCTCGTTCATTTTGTTATTTTTTTAAACTTTCTTACTATGATACTACCCTTGTGATCAAAATCCCACTGCCTCTGCCTTTGGAGTGCTAGGATTTCACCGTGGCTGGCCTGACAGTGGATTTACCAATAGAAATTCCCTGCACAGACTCAGCAGTGAGAGCTGAACCCATGTTGTGATGATGATGGGACTGATTTTGGAAAAGAAAAGAGTCTGTCTCTCCTTCTCTTTTGGGGGTGTGTGTGGAGGGGGTGGGTAGATGGGTCTCATGTCTTCCAGGCAGACCTAGAACTTGTTATGTCCTTCAGGATGACCTTGAACTACCGATCCTCCTGCTCCATCTGTCTATTGCTGAGATTCTAGGTGGGCACCATCACATCCGTTTTACGCATCGCTAGAATCTGAACCCAGTGTTTCTTGAATGCTAGACGAGCAGGGTACCAAATTGAGCTACATCCCTGGTACCTGAAGCATCTTATCTACAAACATTTCAGACACCTGATTTAAGAGTTCCCTCCCGCCCATCAGGTCTCTTGACATCAGCTGGATAGCTCCAATTCACTTCTGACAGTACCTGGAAAAGTTAGATCCCACAAAAACCGCAGACCCAGAAGAGCCCCCACTAGGGACACCTTAGCTAGGGGATCACTTCCTAGTTCATCATACAGGTCATTGGGGGTAAGCATGGATCTTTACTTTTTTTTCCTTTGTCTGAGACAGCACTAACCCAGAGCGATTTCCCTGCCTCAGCTTCCCAGGTGCCAGGGTTTAGAAAGGCTCGTGCTGCTACATCGAGCTTTTCATTCTGATCTACGTCCACAGGCCCTAGTTCCCTTAAAAATACCAACAGGCAGACTTGTCTGTGGTGAATGACAAGGAGGTGGTGACAGGGAAAACAGATGCTTTGTCATCTGTCCCAAATGGTGGTTGTGTTAGCATTTCCTGGGGTGAAGCCAACTGACTATCTTCAACCCAGACCATCCAAAAAATTCAAGTCTTTCTGGGAGAATCACTTAGTTGAATGGGAGCTATAGGCAAAGCAGGGGTAACCAACCCATCAGAAGCGACGCCACCAAAGAGAATGTCGTCATACCAGCAACGGTTAATCACTGGTAGTCTCTCGGTGAGCAGCAGGGCCTTGTGGGTTTAGAGTTGCCCACTGAAGTTTAATGTGACCTCTTGAGTCCCCAAGACCCCAAGAGAGAGAGTTAGTGGGCCGTGTCTTATGACTCCTGGGGATAAACATAGCTGTTTTGATTTCACATAGCAAAGGTCATGACACGCCTAATGCATGCAGGGTGTCTCCTGTCCATAAATTGAGCTACACAAAATACGTTACATGCTTTAAAACGTTTTACATTTTACTTATGTGCATGTATGTCTGTGAATATGTGTATGAGTGGTGTGGGTACCTTCAGAGGCCAAAGGTTGTCCTCTATGATCTCTATATGCACAAGATGGAGTGTGTGTGCCCTCATACTATACACACTTGTTGAGGCCAGCTTGGTCTATGTCAGGCCCTGCATCAAACAATCATCAAGACACAAGTTTGGGTGGAGGATGGAGTGGAACAATTCATGCATGATGCCTCATGTAATCTTAGAACTTGGGAGTCAGAGGCAGGAAGACCACCACATATTCAAGGCAAGCCTAGCCCACAGAGCAAATCCAGGCTTCCTACAGTTGTAACTCTAATTAAGACCTGGTCTAAGAAAAAAATGGTGCTTTTTTTTTTTTTTTTTTTTTTTGGTTTTTCGAGACAGGGTTTCTCTGTGGCTTTGGAGGCTGTCCTGGAACTCGCTCTGTAGACCAGGCTGGCCTCGAATTCACAGAGATCCGCCTGCCTCTGCCTCCCGAGTGCTGGGATTAAAGGCGTGAGCCACCAATGCCCGGCGCTTTTTTGTTTTTTGAGACAGGGTTTCTCTGTGTAGCTTTGGAGTCTATCCTTGTATTCGCTCTGTAGACCAGGCTGGCCTAGAACTCACAGAGATCCGCCTGCCTCTGCCTCCTGAGCGCTGGGATTAAAGGCGTGTGCTACCACTGCCTGGCAAGAAAAAAAAGTGTTTATGTGCATGGATTTAGCTTATTTTCTTGAATCACAAGAATATTTTATTAGAGCCTAAAACAAAAGCTTTGGGGCAGGTGAGGTGTAAATCATGGGCAGCTGCCTGTAGGAGGCAAATGGAGGAAAAGCCACACCACTAAAGCTAGGATGGAGGTCAGGTTCATGCATGGCTGGCAAGAAACCAAATGATGGGGAGGGAAAATCATAGGGAGGGAAGTTTTCTTTTCTTTTTTTTTTTTTTTTTTTTTTGGTTTTTCGAGACAGGGTTTCTCTGTGGCTTTGGAGGCTGTCCAGGAACTCGCTCTGTAGACCAGGCTGGCCTCGAATTCACAGAGATCCGCCTGCCTCTGCTTCCCGGTGCTGGGATTAAAGGCGTGCACCACCAATGCCCGGCGGGGAGGGAAGTTTTAAAGAAATCATGAGGAAGCCCAAAACATTGCAAGGGCCAGGGATGACTGAACCAGTTAAGGAAATACAAAGTTACACTTTTCTGAATAATTCAGAAAATAGGACAGACTTACAACCCTATAGCCCTGTAATCTTTTGCCTGTGTGTAGTATTTTTCTATGAAGAGGTACTAGGGTTTAATAAAGATATTTAAGGGACCAGAGATGGCTAGGTGGCTAAGGGTGCTTGCTGCTCTTCCAAGAAGATTTGGTGTGGGTCCCAGCTCCCTTGCCTGGTGACTCATGATCACCTGAAATTACAGTTCCAGAGGATCTGATACATGTCTTCCAGGCTCTACACACACACACACACACACACACACACACACACACACACACACACACACAGTGTTAAAATGGGTACAATTGCCGGGCGGTGGTGGCGCATGCCTTTAATCCCAGCACTCAGGAGGCAGAAGCAGGCGGATCTCTGTGAGTTCGAGGCCAGGCTGGTCCGACAACCTCCAAAACAATACAGAGAAACCCTGTCTCATAAAACCAAAAAAAAAAAAAAAATGGGTACAGTCTTCTCGGGGAAGTCAGATAACGTAAGGCATGCCAAGTGTGGGCACAAATTCATGAAGTGAGAGCTGCCCAAATAAACATCTTGTCTTCAGACAGGATCCTCTGTGTAGCCCAGGCTGTGCTGGAACTTGCAGCAATCCCCCTGCTTCTGTCTCCTAAATGCTGTGATTAGACATAGGGTACCATGTCTAGCCCATACGCTTGACACAAATACATTTCTTTTTTTTTAATTTTTGCTTTTTGAGATTGGTTTTCTCTGTGCATCCCTGGATATCCTGAAAATCACTTTCTAGACCAGGCTGGCTCAGAACTAACAGAGATCCACCTGCCTTTATCTCCCAGGTGCTGGGATTAAAGGGGTGTGCCACTGATGCCCAGCACAGCTATATTTCTTAATTTTACCAATGAAGTAAATATGGAAAGAACAAGAACCTGGCATGTTTTTTACTTTTTTAAAATGTTAATTTTATTTAGTTTTTGAGACAGGGTCTTACTGGGTAGTTCTGACTAGCCTGGAGCTCCCTATGTAGACTGACCTCTAACTCAGAAATCTACTTGCCTCTGCCTTCTGGATGCTGGCAGGTATCAAAACACAAACAATTCATTTGGCAACAGCTAATTGATCATGGCAGGACCTGAGTCTGAAGTCACCACCAAACTCCAAAATGATTAGGAATTACCAACACTTACTGCTATACTTCACTCTCAAACTGCAGGATGGAAACATTCGTCCCGACAATTACAAGGGTTTTCCGCTTATTTTGGGGAGACTGGGCCTGACGTCGCCCAGGATGACACGGAACTGGCTATGTGTCTGATGACAGTCTTCAGCTCTGGGTCCTCCTGTCTCTACCTCCCTGAGTGCTGGGAGTATAGGCTTTTGTTTTATTGTATGTATGGTATTTTATAGGATGTTGCTATATCGCTCAGATTGTCTTATGACCCACAATCCTTTTGCCACAGGCTACCCAATGTTTACTAGATGGCTCCGTTGTTAAAGAGCCTGCCTTGAAAGCATAAGGACCAGAGGTCAATACCTAGAACACACATAAAAATGCCAGGCATTGTAGCACACAGCTGTCCTCCCAGTGCTGGGAAGGGAGAGACAAGATACCTGGGACTCACTGGCTAGCCACTCTAGTCTGATTGTACATGCTTCTCCAGACGAATAGGAGACCCTGTCTCAAAGGAGGTAAACAGAATCTCCGGGAATGACAGCAAGGTCGCACACACATACAGGTGCCCGTCCCCTCCCACCATACACAGTAACAGAGAACAGACTGACTATGAGGGAAGAGGGGGCATCGAATGGACCAGTTCGGGCAAGAGAACAGTGATGCAAGCAACAGATGCTGCTGCTCCACTTGGGAAACAAACTGAAGACAAAGTAGCTTGGAGGTATCACTCGCTGAGAACATTGCCTTAAGCTGAGAGCGGAGGAGAGGGCATGCGTTGTGGGAAGAAGGATCAGTGATTGAGAAGATGGATTAGAAACAGCCAATGAGAGCGAGGCTGTGAAGCCAGTCGGTCCTAGGCTGGTCCTAGGCTGGTCTGTCTTACTGTTGTCTGTCTTCCTGCTGCCACCCAAACCTCCCGGGTGCTGGGCGCACACTTGGGACAACCACCACCACGTCTCTTAGAGTTACTGAAAACGATCGAGAGCAATGCGGGCTGCTTTTCAGTGGCTAAACTTAGAAGATTTGGTTTTGTTTTTCTTGTTTTTTTTTTTTAATTCCCAGGTGAAATGTACTGTCTAATTTAGCTGAAGAAGAACCGAGATCCGCAGCCTGTTTTATGCAGATACAGTGTGCGTTAAGATTGTAAGAGGCTCAGAATCTGTTCCTGTGCAGAAATAAGGCCAAATTGTGGTGGTAAAGGAATTGTTGAAAGCGTAGAGGAGAGACCTGTTATTCATGTTATAGAAGGAGAGCTCACCCAATTCATAATCCAAAAAGATGCCAATCTTGCTGGGCTGCACCACTGGCAGAAACTCCATTTTCTCAGGCCCATAGGCGGCATAACCATTCTCACTGTATCTCCCGACCGCCCAGAAGCCCTCAGCAACTGAGGGCTGCTCACGCCAGTCCCCAGGTAGGCAGTCTTGACACACACCCAATGTCCACATGGGCTTGCTTCCCACTCTCACCTCCCAATAACAACGGCCCGAACGAAATCCTTTACTCCCCAGGACAGCAGGCCAGAGGTGAAACCTCCGAGGGCCAGCACAAACACTTTGCCTTGAGTCTTTATAAAGCACTGATTTTCTGTCCTTAGAAAAAACAAGCTGAGGGTGTGCTGTGTCAAGATCAAAAGTCACAGCTATTTGAAATCGCTTGATGATTCTGTCCAAGCCAGAATACTGGGGCAGCAGATGGAGAACATATTGCTGTGTCCTGAATGACCAAGGTTTGGGGCATCTCAGGTTTTGAAGTCTGTAGTTGACTCTCGGAACGCTTGTTAGGAGTGTGATGTCTGACTCTGCAAACTTGGCCTCTGCTTCCTCCAACAGGTCTTCTAACTCGCGCATATGGTCTGACAAAGTCCCAAGATATCTCTCCAGCTTTAGCAGACTGGCCAGCTCCCCAGTGCAAATCTTACTAAGTAGTGCCTCGTGCTCACTCTGCAGGGACAGTTTGACCTGCTCAAATTCAAAATGTTTCTCTTGTCTTTTATATCCAAACTTCTTCCTCAATTCAAGAACTCTTTTGTGCTGCAGATTCAGGGCTCGTTCAGCTCGGTTCAGCCTGCACTCCAAAAGCTCCCTGTTGTTTTCTAGAAGTCTCCTGTGATGAGGGGCAGCTTTCCACACAGGGAGGACAAAGTGCAGCTTGTGTTTGCCAGACAAGTGGCACTTAATACATAAGATGCTTAGATCCTCCATACAGAAAAGGATCAGAGCCTGATTGTGCTCCCAACACACAGCATATATCTCAAGCCTCCTCCCTCTGCTCCCGGTCCTCTGCTGCAGTTGCTTAACGACATCAACCAAGTTAGAAATCTGCAAGTTCCTGCTGAAGCGTTTCTGTCGGAAATAACTGGGGCAGATAGGGCAGGGGTAGATGCCCCTTTGATCATTCCAGAAAACAATGAGGCAGGTGAGACAAAAGTTGTCCCCACAACTAATGGTCACTGGGTCTCTCAAGAGATCCAAGCAAATGAGACAGGTACAACTGTCCTCCAAGTTTGCCAGGGCTATGGAGAAGTCCATTGGCTTATGAACAGAGCCGGTGGAGAAAAGTCCTTCGGCAGGTCCTCCCTCTTTAAGTTCTTGCAGGATGAGCAGTTGTAGGTGTCACTGGTTTGCTAGGGTGATGATCATCTAACCAAAGCGCCTTAATGGAGTTCAAAAGTTGAGAGGGATTCAAAACTTGTAGCTGTCTCACAGACACAGCTGTGAGAAAAGCAACACATGTGATGGACTTGGCGCTCCTGTGGATGAGAAAAAATTTGTTTTATTTTTCTAATTTTTTTTTTTTGGTTTTTTGAGACAGGGTTTCTCTGTGGCTTTGGAGGCTGTCCTGGAACTCGCTTGGTAGTCCAGGCTGGCCTTGAACTTACAGAGATCCCCTGCCTCTGCCTCCCGAGTGCTGGGATTAAAGGGGTGCGCCACCACCGCCCGGCTATTTTTCTAATTTTTAATTATGTGTGTATAAACATCAGTGCAGGTGCCCAGGGAGGTCAGAGGCATTGGATCACCCCAGGGCTAGAGTTTTAGGTGATTGTGAGCCCAGCAAAGCATGCATAGATGGGGAGGAGGGCCATCTTGCTGGTCCAGTGGATCGAGTCACTTGAGGCCAACTGTGATGACCTGAGTTCTAGCCCCAGGACCCCCTGATGGAAAAGAGGAACAATTTTGTAACCTGTTCTCTGGATGCCACATGTGGGCTATGGTATGTGCATAAGTACAAACACACACACACACACACACACACACACACACCAGAAATCTACTTAAAAATAAGAGTAGAAGGAGGGGGAACCAACTCCATAAAGTTGTCCTCTAACCACCAAATGCATGCTGTGACTCGACCACCCATACAGATCATGCATGTACCAGCATGATGTAAACTATATATATATATATACATATATGTATATGTATATATATGTACACACACACAGTCTGGGGGTGAAGCTCAGCAGATGAGCAGATTGAGTGCTTGCTTGGCATGCACCAAGCCCTGGATTCTGTCCCAAGTGGAGCATATACTGTCTTTTTTTTTTTTTTTTTTTTTTTTTTTTTTTGGTTTTTCGAGACAGGGTTTCTCTGTGGCTTTGGAGGCTGTCCTGGAACTCGCTCGGTAGACCAGGCTGATCTCGAACTCACAGTGATCTGCCTGCCTCTGCCTCCCGAGTGCTGGGATTAAAGGCGTGCGCCACCAACGCCTGGCTTGGAGCATATACTGGATAAACAACTGTAACCCTAGCACTTGGGAAGCTGAGACAAGTAATGGCAGGTTAAGGCCAGCCTGGGCTAAACTGAGAGAACTTGTCTCAAAGCAAAGCAAAACGCAAATCAATCATCACCAACCAACCAACTAGCCAACCAACATTCTACAGTTCATAGTCAGTCTAGAGTATACCATGGGGAATTTGGAGCCAGCTTGAGATACATTACATCTTGCCTAAAAAAATAGATAAGTGCATAGACAGATAGGTTGAATACATCTAAAGAGGATTTCACAAGATGAATTATAAGTTTTTATACTATCTATGATGACATAAACTGATACAGTTAAGACAGTGGCCTCTAATGGGAGTGTTGCACCCTGCACTACCACTGAAATAGCGACATTGTACTGGGTTTCTGTGGGCTTGAGTCTCTATCTCAGGAAGGTTGGTGCTATTTTTTTTTTTTTTTTTTTTGGTTTTTTGGAGACAGGGTTTCTCTGTATTGTTTTGGAGACTGTCCTGGAACTCGCTCGGTAGACCAGGCTGGCCTCGAACTCACAGAGATCCGCCTGCCTCTGCCTCCCAAGTGCTGGGATTAAAGGTGTGCGCCACCAATCCCCGGCTAGGTGGGTGCAATTAAGGAAAAGACGATCACCAAGCTGAATTGTAAGGGAGGGGTGTGGGGAGTGTGGAGTACGCCTGCAGTGTCCACCCTGGGGAAGGAAACAGAGGCAGGGTCCTTGCCAAGGTTGAGGGGATGAGTGGCTTTCCCAGGGAGAACCTAGATAATATTTTCATTTTTAAAAATGATGCATATTAGCTTGCATGGGGAGGGACATGCCATGCCATGGTCCCTATGAGAATGCCAGATAACAATTTGTAGGAGATGGCTCTCTTTCCACCATCTGGTCCCTGGGGATCCACTTTAGAATTTCCAGAACTCAAGAGGGTGGATGGAAGGATCAAGTCTGAGGACATCAAGCCCACCGACCCCTTAGCCACCTTTCACACATACTCAGTTCCATGACTTTCCTGGGCCCTCACAGCCCCTTCATGCCCTTAATTCCCTTAGTCAGTCACCTCTACAAATCCAGGTCTCATTCAGTCCCAAGTGGATTCTTCATCCTATTTCTGTAGTAACCAGTCACCCATTTTTAGCAGCTAACAGGCTAATATGTGCTTGCATGGCCTTACCACTCCTGTAAGAAGTTAGCTGACAGGGTTGTGCTTTATGGCTCTGGGTGTGCTTTACAGACAAGTACACAACAGTGACGTGCAGAGCATAGCAACCGCCCTGGGAGGGCCTATGGACCATAACAACCAGTTGGCCAATCAACACAGGGCAGGTCACCCAAACCTGGAAGCGCACCAATCCTGAGACTGTTCCATACTCCTAGACACTCTCCTTAAGCTGCCCTTTAAGGTCCCTGCCTCGAGGTTGCTTGGGGTCTTTCTCCAGCCATCCACCATGGTGGTGGGGTGAAGGGCCCGAGCTAATGGGGTTAGCTCATTAAACATCTACAATAAAAGACTCTTTGCTTTTGCATTGAAATGGGCCTCTTGGTGATTTTGGGGTTCAGAATTTGGGCACAATAGTTCAATAGCACATTAACATCTATGTGCCTTGGCCGAGGTGGTGACGCATGCCTTTAATCCCAGCACTCGGGAGGCAGAGGCAGGTGGATCTCTGTGAGTTCGAGACTAGCCTGGTCTACAGAGTGAGTTCCAGGACAGCCTCCAAAGCCACAGAGAAACCCTCTCTCGAAAAACAAAACAAAATAAAATCTATGTGTCTTAACCATTTTACTCAGAGACAATTTCCAACTCCCAATCAATTCTACAGGGCCCTAGTTTTCCAAACACAAATCTAACCCTCAAATCTTCCACAATATCTTCTCAGGACCCTAAGATAGCAAGACAGTGGGCAACAGCATGAGCACACCATTCTCACAATTCAGATTTTACTTGTGGCCACTTTTGGTTCAGAGTAGCTGGGTGGCAATGGTGCACACCTTTAATTCCAGCACTCAGAAGGCAGGGGCAGGCAGATCTCTGTGAGTTCGAGGTCAGCCTGATCTAGGACAACCAAGGCTACATAAAGACACCCTGTCCTGAAGAGAGAGAGAGGGAGGGAGAGAGAGAGAGGGAGAGGGAGAGAGAGAGAGAGAGAGAGAGAGAGAGAGAGAGAGAGATCCAGTTCATAGTGTAAATTCTTGTCTTTACAGTACAGCATTTTTAACAGCACCCTTTCAATTTTGACAGGCAGATTCCCATGCCTTCCAGGCCAGCCAGGGTATTAAATACGATTTAGTCTCAAAACCAAAACCAACCAACCAACCAACCAACCAAAAATGAGATGGCTCATTCGGTGTAAAGGTGTTTTCAGTCACGGGAGTTCAGGCACCTGAGTACAATTCCCAAACTCACAGAAAAGCTGTAAGGAGAAACTCCATAAAGTTATCTTTTTAAGCCCCCACAGGCTCCATGATATGTGCCTGGCCCCACACACATCTCACACAGGCACAGTAATAAAGTGGCTTTGTTTTTCTTTTGAAAATTGTACAGGTTGAACTTTAATGCATTATGTGTAATTCAAGAGGCCTTAAACTTTGGATGCTTCTGCCTCAGCCTCCCGATAAATTTGGGATCTGACCTGCAGGCCTGCATGCAGACCCAGAAGTGATCATGTCTTTCTTGATTAATTAATAATTAGTTTTGAGAGCAGGATTCACTATGTAGCCCTGGTTGACCTGAAACTTGTCATGTGGACTAGGCTGGCCTCCAACTCCCAGAGATGCCTCCAAGGGTTGAGATTAACGGCATGGGCCACCATGTCCGATTTGATTCTGTTTTTCTTAAAAGAGGCTCCAGAATCTTTTTTTTTTTTTTTTCGTTTTTTGTTTCTCTGTATTGTTTTGGAGGCTGTCCTGGAACTCGCTCTGTAGACCAGGCTGGCCTCCAACTCACAGAGATCCGCCTGCCTCTGCCTCCCAAGTGCTGGGATTAAAGGCGTGCGCCACCACCATCTGGCTTTAAGGCTCCAGAATCTAAAGAGACCGTACAGCGCACAATCTGCGCCTCTATACTTCCCACACTTAGTTAAGCTTCCATCAATACTTTGTACACCCCATCCACCCTAGTTTACCTGTGCGGGCACGGCAAGCAGACCCACAGACTAGCAGAACTCAGAGCAGAGCACAGATCTCTCTTAGTTGCAAAGATACTGGATATCTCCTAGTGGGAGGGGAAGGGACCTGCGCATGCCCAAAAGCGCTTGAAGAGGTACACCTGTTTTGTTTTTAGCATATTTATTTATTTTTATTTTATTATGTTTATTGGTGTTTTGTCTGTGTGCATGTCTGTGTGAGGCTGTCAGATCTTGTAGTTACAGGCAGTTTTGAGCTGCCATATGGGTGCTGGGAATTGAACCAGAGACCTTTAGAAGAGCAGTCAGCACTCTTAACTGCTGAGCGGTCTCTCCAGCCCCGCACCTGTTTTGATGATGAGGTCCTTGTTTGCATTAACACACACACACACACACACACACACACACACACGCACGCACGCACGCACGCACGCACGCACGCATGCGCGCGCAAAAATCTCAATCAATAAAGCATCGATTTAAAAAGAAAGAGAGAGTCAAGGCAGTGGCCCCCGAACCCGCAGCTGCGGAGGATGTAGGATGAGGCCCATCCACAATCAACACTGTAATGATTTGAAGGGAGCCCTTGGGGATCTTCTGAGTGAGAACTGCTGACTCTTATCCAAAATAGACGCTACTGGATGCCAGCTAGAAGCTCCTGGGGCATGGAG